TATTACGGATTAACAGTTCAAGAAGGGTGTCTCGTCAATACAAGCATTTCTTTGTTGTAAATTTTTCTTTTTGGAAAATTAATTAAATGATTAATAAAAAGAATACCATATCAGAGAATTTCAAAAAGATTCCTATAACAATCAAAAGTCTTGGAAAATCAAATCATCTCTAGTTTCAAAATAGCCCTGTCATAAAATGGTGAACACTGGCCATGACTGCCTCACAAAATACTTGTCCCTTTTCCGCATAATTAGAAGCAGTATCTGTAATCTGGAACGAGTCATGGAAGGTGACCATCTAATCCTTCGCACAGCTTTAAGGTTGTTTTTCAAAGATTCAAAGCTTCGTCATCACAAGAAATTATGCTTTTTTTGTGCATAATATGCAATTTTCATGACTGATGTGAGCTTGGAACAGTTATTCAGGACTGCTAATGCAAGTTCTGTATCTAAAGCTAGTGTTGGGTAAGCCTATTCTGCAAATGACGCAAAACGTTAATATGTAGAAACGCCACAGTCTTATGGAAATTAAAATCTTTTAATATTTAAAAATTTACTCCAATGCTGCATTATCTGAGCTTATTAAAATTTCAAAAAACTAAGAATAAGGTAGTGATCTCATCGAAATTGGCGATTTTTAAAAAAAGTTCAACGGCTTTTAAAATATTTAAGTTAATTCGTTCGTTCTAAAGCCCAGATAATTCTTCACTGGAAGATGATATATATAGTTTAAAATCATCATTTTGTTTCAAGTATAGGCACTCAAATTGTGGCTTTTTTTTCGACAGGGCGTAAAAAAGCCATGTTAATTAAACGTTCGCTTGTGGACGTCTACTGCAGGGCCAGGGGCATTTTGGATTTGTAGGTTATCACTACAGCTGCTACTCTTGTTCTCTGTTTTTTTTTTCTCTGCGTTTGTTTTCCATATGGTTCTTTGTATTTATTACCATAGCTGTCCTCTAATCTTGCCTTTAGAACTAAAAAAAATACCAAAATATATAAGAACATTTTAAAAAGTATTTCAATTTCCAGGCGTGGTAGTAATGTCGCAATCACCTGACGTTATTGAATCTAAAATAATGGAACGTTGATTATTTAAGAAATGTTTCTTCACATACTTTTATTGTCTTATTAATATTTAGTAATTGTTTATCATTTTTTACTTAATAATCATAAGTACTTGACACTAAAAACAATTGCAAATATAAGTGTCCTAACAATAAATACATTGTTAGATATTTCTCGGCAAAAATAGTTAAATAACAATTTATTTAATTATTATTTTACCATTTTTAAACAAAAAAAGTCCATAATAACTATAAATAAGATGACATTCAAACTGTTAACAGTGAGAAAAATCGTTTATTAACAGTTTTTCCCGAATAAGGCTAAACAACCTAAATTTATCTCAGCAGCTAGACCCACCTAATAAAGCCACTTAGTATTCATAATTCATAGCTGAGAGTGTTAATTTGTCAATATCATGACTGACAGAAAGGGGTCTTGGATCCCAGTGTTGTCACCCGAATATTTTCTCCATTCTCTTCAAGACATGAAGAGTTTCCAGTGTCCTGTAGTCCCCGATTTGTGACCCTGTACTGTAAAAATACTCTCATTCACGTATACATGGCACCGTAAAGCTGAACACAAAAAGTCCAGTATTTTCCATTTCTTACAATAAGTGAAACAGCCAGATAAACTAATTAAACCGTATTCCACGGTTCGTAAGATAAAACACAACTCAACCACATTCTAACTCCAATGCCTATTACCTAACTAAAGGTCTTTTTACGATTCTGAAACCACGCTAATTGTAAATGGTTATAAAACCATGTAGTTTGTATTCATGTTTTTTAGCTATATCTGTTGTAAACAGTTTCAAAACCGTAAAGGTAAAAAATATTCCTTACCGCAAACTTTACTGCTGATTGTATAAATGGACTAATGTCGGTTATTTTACAGTAATTTTAGAATGAAAATTTTATAAGTATACCTTTCAAATTAATTTTAAAATTTAATACATGCATAAGAAAAGATAATGTAAAAACATTTTAATATTAATGAGTACAACTTGTCATTCTGATACTGTGAATTTCTCCAATATATTCCTTACTCATATCTATAGGAAGAATAATTTCATTTTTAACTACTAAGTGAATTGAAACTAAGTGATAAATTTCACAAATATTTTCCTTTACTTCCTTTTAACCGAGATTTGAAGGTTGAGGAATTTGTTTGACCTCCATTTCATAAATATAATATTGATTTTATAAATTCCTAACCATGATTCTTTTTTTTTCTTTAAAGTTCATCTATACAATCTTGAGTAATAAGTTTCACGCCACCTTCTACATCTAACAGACATGCTTTTATTATTATTTTTTAAATTTTAAGTGGCTTTTGAAACGACACTTTCTTGTTCTTCTTTAAGCTTCCTAGGAAAATTTTAAAAACTCCGAGAAGGGGAATTATGTAAATTTAGCCTTTTTTTGACGCAGTAATGTAATCTTCGTATTTTCTTCTCATAAATATGTATTGTTTGAACCTCTTAAGTTTTAAATTCATATAAAATATAAGAGTTTTATCAAGAGGTTGATGGAATTTTTTGAGTGCTGTGGAAAAAATAAATAATGAATGCTTTATCAAAATTCAGAAATGATTTATTTCAAGACAAAAATTTCCTTATAAAATAAGTTATTTTAAAATTAATGAATCTAGATATTTAAATTTTATATAAATCATTTTATAATAAAGCAACATTCATAAAAACGTATCAACTGATTTAAAAATCATTTATTATAACACATATTTCTAATAATAAAAGGAAGAGGTAATCTGCGTTTCTGTTTGTAGCTATATAATTCTGAAACCGGTACTAGATTTGGACCGTGAAATCTGGAGCTTTAGTGAAAGAAGAAATTTTAGCACTCGATCTTAAAAACCGTTCAAAACTATCTCTTAACAAGTTATAAAGAGATGTTCGAGAAATTAAAGTTCCTCTTTGTTTTAAAATTAGCCATTGTTCGAATTAACAGAAGATGATTTGGTTTTTCAAATATCTAAAGGATAATATCAGTGATGTTTGCTAGCTTTTAGCCCTATTCAATCCCGTTTTTTAATGTATTTTATTAGTAATATCAGGTATGTTCAATGATCAACGCGAATGTCATTATAGGTTTATATCACTGAATAAGTAAATTTTAAGTAATCTGAAACCAGATGCTTGTTTTGCTTATGATTAATTAATTAAAACATATATTTATGTACAAAGTAATTTAAAATCAATTTGACATAAAAAAAATTACTTATGTACTGAAGAACAAAATATAATGAGTAAAAAATTGCTATACGATTATTGAAGAAAATAATTATTTTCGTCAGTAATATTAGAGTAATTGTTTTAACGAACTGAGGAACAAATAAAAACTACCAGAATTTGGTAATGTTTACCAGAATGATTTTGGTAAAATTTAGAAAAAATATATGGTTTAATAATTCGTTACAAAATTTGGTAAATAAGATAAAATTTTTAATTTTATCATGACACAGTAGAGTATGGTATAAAACAGCTTTTTAGTTTGATTTCTTACTAAATGTGCGGTAATAAAAATTGTAATTTTGAAAATCAGAATTTTTGGTAAACCGTTACCATATGAACCGAAAAATACTGAATTAATGGTTTAAATACCGTATATTTTGGCTTCCTTCACCAGACTTATAATTTGTTTGTTTCTTTTTATACCAAAAATGTCATTGCAATACAATACGGTATTATAATATTTAATAATTTATTCATTGTAATTTTTAATAATTTTGTCTTTGTGCAGTTAACATCCGCAAGTCAAATTAAAAAAAAATCATTGTTGCAAAATATATATTTTTTTAAATTTGTGACTCAAAATTCACCCCTCCTTACTTCAAATTTTAAATATTAATACAGTCCTCGATCAGAAACCTTGAATCAACTGAATATTTATTCTAGCTTTTTTATATTGTTAGGTAAGGGAGGAACTATAAGAACATGTCTTATAAAATTGGTGATATTGCACGAGAATTCCTTTTACGATTCGATTTTTTTTTTTTGAAAAAAAACTTCATTCGGTTTATGCGGTTAAATTTATTTTTTCATTTTCGTATTTTTTGCTAAATTTGTGGAAATAAGGACTCTAAGTTTGGAAACCACAATTTCCTGCTCACTGTTAGCATATAAATGGAAAAATAATCAAATGAATGCTTTAAATTCCGTATATTTTGATTTTTATTATCAGAATTATGGTATTTTTACCAGAACTCTCATTACATTACGATAAATATACAGGAATTAGTTTTCTCTGTGTCTATTTCAATTAATCAACTCAAATCATTATATGTATTGCTTAATTACTAATTCACTAAATTTAATCACAATTGCACCTCATAATGCATTTTAAAGTTAATTACACAATACAAATTTTTAGGAAAAGCGTCAGTTAAGATTCGTGTTTTTTAATATCCTTTAAATACGGATTTAATTTTGAAAATAAATACATAATAATAATATCTCTACTAGTTAACGAAAATAGAACTTAAAATCTTGGAAGCAAATTAAATTAATTGAATGTATTTATTAAGAACATAAGATTAGAATTGAATACCAATTACTTTTTTAGTGTTAATTGGTTATACACTGTAAAAAATTCCGAATGAAATCATTGTAAAATTTTATTGTCACCCTGAGTGCAGCATTCGTAAAGTCCATTTCACAGCACTCATTTTCATCATAACATTTTAAGCTCTAATTTTCACTGTAATATTTATCTAATTATTGTTATTCAGTAATTTTACAGACACTATTAGTGTAAAAATTTCTGTATATCACATGCTTTGTTCCGTAAAATATTGTAGTGAAAATGATTTTTAATAAAAAGTACCATCATTCTGAGTGCCGGTACTTTTTACAGTAATTTGATTATGAATTTTTGCAGTGTATCTTCACATAATGACTTTTAAAATCTTTCCAGGTTCCATCAGCAATATTGACGATGGAACATACAGATGTCCAGATGGATCATCCCCCTCGATTCGGCACCAAAGGATATCTGGAGTTCTCGGCGCAGCTTCAAGTGTTACTTCAATTCAAGTGGCAAATCTCTTGCGACTTTTTAAAATACCTCAGGCAATAGAATCTATAATTGAAAATTTGTTCTTCAAAATTTTTTTTACCTAAAGTAATAAAATGTATAATTGAATTGTTTTTCAAAACAATGTTTTAATTCAGGTAATATAATGTAAAATTCAAAATTTGTTTTTGAAAAAAATGCTTTACCCAAGTAATACAATGTATGATTAAATTGTTTTTTAAAAAAATTTATTTTTACTTCAGGTTATAAAATGTAGAATTGAAAATTTGTTTTTAAAAAAATATTTTTCATAGGGTAATATAATGCATAATTAAAAAATTGTTTCTAAAAAATTGTTTTATCTCAGGTAATATAATATGCAATTGAAAAATTGTTTCAAAAAAAATTTCGGATACACGTATTTACTAAAAGATTTTCTATTGATAAAATAAACTAGAGTTTTATGTATTGTGGTTGAACCTAAACATAGTTGCCGCAACTATAATTTTTATTAATTGTAAAAGAGATCTATTTAAAAACAATTTTTAAAGAATTCCGAATTTTTATGGATCAGATTTATAGTTAAAATAAACCGTAAATTACTTATTTAAACATTGCATCAAAAAATAACCATAATGATCTAAAAATATAATAAAAAATTGGCGGAATAGTGTATCGTCGGTCTGATTTTCTTCGAGGAGATTGCAGCTGCAGGTCCTGTCATCTGCGCCGTTAATGAAAAGCGGTATGAAGCACTTTTGCGTAACCTTATCCTTCCGGCACTTCGGCAGCATCAGTGTGTGGATCATGCAATATCCAAGCAAGACGGCATTCCTCCGGACATTGCTACTCCTGTGAATCAGCTGCTGAGTTCTCATTTGGAAGATAGTAGGATCATAAACCGCCATTTTCCAGCAACGTTGCCGCCACGTTCCCTTGACTTAAACCCCTGTGATTTCTGACTTTAGGGGTACCCGAAGTATGTTGTACGGATAGAGAACCTAGCCGATTTGCAGGCAATCATCACACACCACATCCATTGCATAAGTACAAATACCCTCCGACCTGCTGTGGAGCATACCGTTTTGCGCTTCCAATTAGTAGTGGAACAAAGTGAAGGTCAAATCGAACAACTTATACCTTAATCATCAATAAGAAGTTGGTTCTATGAGGCTCTTTTTTTTGGTATTATTACTGTTGTAGTAGAAAACACGCATTATCGTCTTTTCGCTAATAATGTTTTAGTAAACCTCTAAACTTTATTAATTCATTTTGGCTAACATTACACAGACAGCTCCATCGATCGTTGAATTTTGGAACGATTTCTTGTCCTTTGCCAAGCAAAATTCCATTGCCTCATGAATGTTTACTAAAATATCAGGTCATTCTGGCTAGTGCTTTTAAAATTATAGATTTTTGCAATTGCAACTTTAATTATAATTACTAAAAATGTAGTAATTATAATTTTATGTCAGCACATTTTACTACTGTGTTAAACGTATTGAAATGAAAGGATGCATGGATTTAGAAAAATAATCAACTATACTTTTGAAAAAACTGAGAAATACGGAATGCGCAATACAATAAGATTTAATAAATGAGAAGTAATTTTACTATTTAACAATATATGACGGTAATCTTATTATCATACAATAGTTTGAATTTGAATCAGTTTTTATCTCTTAATTTTTTTATATTTTCAAAAATTTCGATATCGATATTGTTGTTCGTGGAACTTGAGAAAGACAAAAACAGTTACCGGCAAATTAAATTTTATTAAAATCTAAATTGTAAAGTGCACATCATGCAAACACAGTGCAATGTGAAAAACATCTCTCAGTCATTTGCATAGTTGATTCTTCTATCGGGAAATAGCATATGTTGCACATCTACATGATGTAAGATGCGCAACTTACGTGAGAGGTAAAAAAAAATAGAGTTGGTCAGACATCTGCAGCAAATATCAAAATTCATATCCCGCAGCATATAATCTCTCTCTAAAATATATTATTTTTTTACGTTATCGACAACTAGTAAAACGCGAGTTTATAAAACGAAAACCCAAGAAAGGTACGATGTTCTAAAGCAATGGGTGATAATTTATTCGAAAGAAAAATAGTGCAAAAAGTCCTTCAAATTGCTATAATTTCTGAACAAATAGGAATTACAAATTAATTTCATAATTTATAATAGTCCTATCAGCAAGTCAAATTTCAACTCTGCAGTTGAATTTTACCTGGCAGTAGAGTGCTCGACGCGTTATTTTTTACTACAAGCTTAATAGTTAATAATAATTGAATTAATAATCGTTACGTACTTCTTTTCCATCCCACTTCCTGCACATTTTTTACACACTTTCGCAATTTTAAGCTTCTAAGTCATAGTTTTTACACGGTAAAATAAAATGTAACGCAAAGCACGAAACGAGAAAAATTATTCACAAAAAATTACTCAGAAATTACAACAACTTTCGGACGAATTATAATTTTGAAAAATACTCTGAGTTAAGTTCACAAACAATTATGGCCTTTTCAGCATGCCACATTTAATTTCTGTAGTAGCGTCTTTGCGACCTGTAGCGTCACCCGTATAGAATTTTTTCCTTTGAGTTTAGCTCTAAATTCTCGAACTAATTAGTGAATGCTAAATAGTTTTTTATTCAATCATAATTCCTGTACAAATTTCTGAACACCTAAGTAATTTCAAAATACTAAGTTTTATAGTTTTTGTGTAGCAAGCCAAACTGTAACGTTAAAGTGAACAGCCAAAATAACGGCAGTCACCTTTGTGACTTTTTTAATGTTGAAAGATCAAAATAAATTTAACTTTGTTTAAATAGCAAAATTATCTTCTTTATTACTATTTGTAATCCCTGTACAGGGTTCTATACACCTTAGTAGTTTCAAGTTTCTGAACCCGAAAATTGAGCACCCGAAACAGCGGCGGGGGTCTTTACGATTTTTTAACATGGAAAGATAAAAATGCATTCTACTTTGTTTCAATAGTAAAATGAGCTTCTATCGATGCTTATTTTTAAAAGAAAGAAAATATCTCTCTCTTTGGCTAATTTTGAGCTTAGGTCGCTGGGTTACCAAAGCGGGGGAGCCAACGCTTCTGCAGATGATCAAAATCGCGATCATCCTCATTGATATTTCCCTGACCGATACCAATAGTCCATTGAGCAGCTCTAGTGCAACGTAAATAAAGTACCTACCTCTTTGGATATTTTATTCTAATTTTAAACTGAGTTAGTAATAATAATAATGTCTTTGTACTTTTAGGTCAGCTTTTTTTCCACAAGTCCCGAACTAAGTAACAAGCAAAGATTTGAATATTTTTTGCGAACTGTGCCATCTGATACAAATCAAGCTGATGCAATGGTGCAAATTATTCGGAGATTGAACTGGACTTATATATCAATACTTTACGAAGAATCTAACTATGGGATACAGGTCAGTTCTGCCTTATTTCTGTCTTTACTTGCATTTAAATCTTTAATAAGAAACAGTAGCATTGTGCATTCTAATTTAGTTGAGTTTAAGAATGTAGAGATTTAAAAGTCAATCATTTTAAACTGAGTCTAGAAAACTCTCTGTGACGCAGGAGGGGCAGTTAACACACTATTAGAATTTTCAATCTAAAATTACGGTAAAACAACCGGTAGCAGTCTGTTCATCCGATTAATCACAAAGTTTATAGTTTGGAACATTTTTTTTTATCTTTACGATTTTGAAACTGTTCAATACAAATACAAATCTGTACGGTTTTGTAACCATTTGCAACTAGCATAGTTTCTAAAATGAAATTTACACTGACATTGGAGTTTTGTGGGTGCTGTACTATTTATGCGTGAATGATAGTTTCATATTCTAATAATCCAAAGTCACTGGAAACACTTCATGTATTGAAGAAATGAGAGAAATACTACTGCATCAACCCTGGGATTTGATCCACTGTTCAGTCGGTCATGAGATTGACCGATTTACTCCTTCGGCTACAGCATGTATCTAATAGATTGGACCAAAAAGACTTTAGAAGGTGGACCTAGTTGGCGCAAATTGAATTCTGGTTGCTTAACCGTATTACGAAAAAACAATCACTAAATTTTTTTTTCTCACATTGAACAGTTTCAGTATCATATTTTTTTTTATAGTTTTTTGACAGTATTTGCTGAATATGGCAAAATAACAATTAAATTAATTCCTATTTTTCCGAGAAATTTCCATCAGAGCACTAATATTTAGTGTGCTTTTAAAAAATAATATTCCTTAATACCGTTTCTTAAACTATCTAACTAAAAAAAATTTTTACCGTGAATTATTAAATATGCTTTGTTGCTTTATTCTTAGGTTATCTTCGAATTATTAAATATATTATGAAAATTAACATTAGAAAATAAATAAATTCAAAACTCATTTAGTGACGAATTTGAGCATTTTTCTATTTTATATAATTATAACTGAATAATTCTGGTACGGTGACTCGGTCTAGCATATTTAATTTTTATATTCAGAAATATTTATTTTGACATAAATTTCGGAACATTTACATCATAAAACAAAGGTTTACAGTACATGTATGCTATCTGTAAAAACATTTTCATGTTTTTAAATATAGAGACGAATTTTTATAATATTTTAATTTCAATATTTTCATATTTTCACCATTTTGAAAGTCATCCGTTCGTTTAAAAACTTAATCTTTTCATTACAACCGATCAGTTTAATGTCTATCTTCAAAGAAATTTTAGGATAATTCAGGTCATTTCTAGTTTATTTAATAAATTTCTTTTCTTAAGAAAAACTTGCACGTAAATAATGTTTTTATTATTTAAAAAGAACATATGGTTATACTGTTAAAAAATTTCAAAAATCTCAGATTTATCATTTCTTTTTTTTTTGTAAAAAGATAATAATATTTGGTTCAATTAGTGAAATGAATGTTTAGAAATATTTTATAATTCTTAATATAGTGAGTTGTGCATAAATATGTATTGTATATTGTATTTAAAGGTTTGTTTTTGAATATTTAAGAAGCAAATGACGTGTATATTAAACATAGAAAAACTCAACGGACGTACTTTTCAAATGTAAACATACATTTTTTAACTTTGTTCGAAATATAGAATATAGAAACGAGTAAGATCGCTATAAAATGCAAATTATTGTCTGCTAAACCTGAAAATGTCTCGAACCCGAATTCGAACCCGATTCACCTCATTGGAAAGCGAACCCTCTATCCTCTGAACCACCACGGCTCGCACGTACATAAGTGCTAAAAAATCATTATTGGCTAAAAGCTAAAATAAACTATATTTGCTAAAACCATGTGGTAACGGAGCCTTAGCCTTCCTCCCTCCAAAAATGTGGGTTTGTATCAACCCCCCAAGTGTCGCTTCTGCATAAAAGATTAACACGGTGTTGGATTTTATTCCTACAGCACATAGAATATAACGTTCAAAAATTTGAAAATTGTCTGAAGAATGCACGAAAGAAAAAGACTGAAATGCCATTAATTTTTTATGGGACTTTTATATTAAATTACATAAAGTGAATTAATTTTTTTTAGTTAGAAAATTAAATTTTAGTTTTGCTTGAGACATTAAAAAATGAATGAAACTAAAAAAATATCAAATGTATTTTTACAGGCTTTCACAGTATTAGAAGAGTTGCTATCTAAGAGTGAGATATGCATTGCTGTTAAAGAAAGACTCACAAAGGACTCGGGAGTTGCTGGTGACTCATATTACGATAACATCGTTCATAAGTTAATGGCCAAGCCTAGTGCAAGAGGTACGTTCAATGCTAACAGAAAATAAATTATCATAATAAAATTTACATTGGTATAAAAGTATTAATTTTAAATATAGTTACGTAAGATAAATTCAGTCTGTCATGAATAATTCCAACTAGTTTATTTCGTAATTCTAAATAATTTGAGTCATTTGCTCGATTTCAGCGTGGAGAAAAAAATTCTGCCACAATTACCGTACTGTATGGTAATGACAATTCTAATAAAAAAAAAAACATCGTTCCGGCTAATAAAACCAAAATAAACGGTATTTTCCATCCGTGTGGCAACGGTTTACCGGAAATTCTGGTTTTCAAAATTATAGTTCTTATTAAAATTCATTTGGTAAAAAATATAAAATGGGAAAGTGAATTTCAACGAATAAAAGTTTGTAACTGAAAAAACAAATTATGCCATAATATAAAAGTGTCAAGAGAAAATTACCAAATTTTACCGCATCTACTAAATTTTATCACGCATTATAAAACCATATTTTATTGTTACTTATATCGAAATCAGACCAAAGCTGTTTGATAAAAATTACCCAGCTTTACGGTGCATCCATAGAGTCCAAAATGCGGTAAATGTTATTATTTTCTAGTAGTTTTGACCTTACTTTTTTTTTCTCAGTGTTTCTGTTACGAGTGCAATAATCAGTTTCGAGGTACAGAATAATTAGACAATTGATAATAATTCTCATTGTAGTAATCTACCGTCGTCTCCTATAGTTAAATAACTTATTTGTGCCTTTATGCATTATGTTCTACTTAACTATATTGTATTCTAAAGATACCTGTTGTCCTTTGGATTTATTTATGTAGCTTAACTAACTTTTATAATTTCACATGAATATAGAGGATGATTCAAAAACGTATGGCCAAACTAAAAGTGCAAAGCTTTTATAATTTCACATGAAAGTAACTTTTATAATGTCACATGAATATAGAGGATGATTCAAAAACGTATGGCCAAACTAAAAGTGCAAAGCAGGCATATAAAAATCACAAAGTAACGCGACAAGTTGCTAATGCTATCTGTAGTAAATTGATTATTTGTAAATTATTCTCAATATACAAAGAAAATGAACAAAAATCATTATGCACTACTTAATAGATGCTGCGTTTTCACGCATGATACACTTCTACGACCAATGCTACAAGACTAGATGCTCAAAGATTTTATTAGACTTATGGAGACACGCATTACATCGATTCTTCAAGGAATATTGCATCTTCTCAAACATTCAACATAAATTTCGGATGTGCTTTTAATACTCCCCTGCAGAGCATAAGTTTTCAAATGATGCATGGCTATTTTTGCTTATGTTTCATTTTATTGTATAAAATTTGCAATTATCACGGTGATGTTCGCTATGTGATTTTTCATTCCTTTATGTCCTGCTATGCTTTTTTATTTTCACCATGAATTTTTTTTCCGTCATCTTGTATAGTTTTCAAATGAAGAAAAAGAAAATGAAGGAAATAAAGATGAAAATATGACCACCGAAGCCGACGTCTTCAGGGGGTACCGGCCCCGGTAGCCATAAAAACAAAACCATTTCTAATTGAGGGAGAAGCAAATGCTTAAATTAACTCCCTCAGTACCCCGATGGTTTTGTATAGAAGTCCAGGAAAAAAAACATGCAATATAAATAACAAATTAAGAAAAGGAACTCAAACAAAATCATCAGAAAAATAAAAACTCACATATTCACAGGTCAGACATCAATTTCTCAAGCAAGCTGAATAAAAAGCTTCAAGCAAGCATTCGGCTTGCTTGGGAAATTGATGTCTGACCTGTGAATATGTGAGTTTTTATTTTTCTGATGATTTTGTTTGAGTTCCTTTTCTTAATTTGTTATTTATATTGCATGTTTTTTTTCCTGGACTTCTATACAAAACCATCGGGGTACTGAGGGGGTTAATTTAAGCATTTGCTTCTCCCTCAATTAGAAATGGTTTTGTTTTTATGGCTACCGGGGCCGGTACCCCCTGAAGACGTCGGCTTCGGTGGTCATATTTTCATTTTTATTTCCTTCATTTTCTTTTTCTTTACTGCTACTTTTTTCTGAAATTTCTGCTGCTTTTTAGCACATTTTTTTCAAAGAAGTTTTTTCTATTTAGAATTTAAAATATTTGTGTTTTCTTTTAGTATAGTTTTTAAATGAACTTATTGTTTTTGGCTCTTTACATCAATGTAGACTAATTCTAAATTTATATATAGCCAATAGCTTTAATTTTTGCTGAATAACTAACTGCTTGATAATAAAAGTACCAAAAACTGCAATTCTGTGATATTTTTTCGTGCAAAGACGTTGAGAAGACGGAAATCAGATGTGGTTGGAGTTATATGGTATAATCCACTAATTAAAGATTGCGATGAAAACAGGATAATGAAAATGACTGCTAAGATGAAAACTGGATCAAATTTATAATAAAACTTTTATTTAGTATTCGTAGAGCTCGATACACAAATTATAATTTTATCCATAAGACTTTGCAAGTAAAATAAATTTTGCATAATGATATTAATAAGGACAGGTTACAGGAGATAAATCCCACTGACCTGGCTAATCAAAGGCCAAATTGAAAAGTAATTTAATTGTTCCCAACAGACAGTTAGAATCATGAGAAGAAATCCATGGTTGGAGATTTTTCGAAAAAAAAGCACTGCCAAAAATCTAACCAACACCCCATAATCAGTATTAGGTTTGAAAATACTTTGGCGATCGCGAATCGCCAGCAAGACTGGAAGAATTATTATAACAATGTAACTGAAACATATTTGTGGAAGGAAATTTAGGAATAAAGATTTATAAATAGATTTTTGTTTTGGATTTTGCGCGACAGTGAAATAATGAGTTTACATGAGTATTGAAATAGAAAGTAAGTCGTTACATTGATAGAAAAGAAAAGAATAAAATATTTTTTGTTCGCTTTTTATAAATTTTAATTATTATAAGTTAATTTTATAACTAATTGATTTGTATTAATTAAAATTCGATTAAAAATGATTTAAAAAAAAGTAGGTTTAGGAAATTTACGAAAAAATTAAAAGCTAGGAAATATGTAATGCCCATTGTGGCATCATAGACGGATGGTTTTGTTGCAAGCAATTTTTTTACGAATTTAGGAGTATCTGAAAGAATACTTTTAGGCTTTTCTATTTCATATCTTTACTTGATAAATTTCTATCGAAACAAATTTTCACCTAGTGTTTAACTTGGAAAATTCCCAATAGTTACACGCCAAATTATTAAAATACGTTAAAACAGCTATTTTAGAGGCCATTTGAATGCATTTTTTGGTGATATCACCAAAAAATTAAAACGTGAACTTTAGGGTGACTTGGAAAAAATAAAATTAGCAATTAAAATGAACACAAAACGCGGGCCTATATTTCAAGGTACACTACAGCAGCGAACGTTGACATGAGAAACACCAAGCATATACTAATATAGCCATGTTATCCTGAACACTTAAAAATTGTTCATATCACGAACGTAAATGGTTAAAATAGAAAAACGATTATTATTATTATTTGGAAGTGAGGTTCTCTTTATTCAAATGACTGGAACTGAAAAATTAATTTGTCGAACATCAATTTTTCTTAATTTTTTAAATTCTGCAAGAAATTTTTCAGTACTTACAATCAGAATTTGTTAGCTGTAAAAACTCCGTTTAAACAATTTCTGAAACATTTATACGAAAACGAAAACCTTTCCTTTTTAAATTTCATCTCGAGAATTTATCAATTTTGTTTAAACTTCATCTCGATAATGACAGTAAAAAAATCACATTTTTGTTTGTTGAGCAAATAAATTTCTTTAAAACTCAAATTACCTAAACGTTTTATAAAAATATTTAAGTTCTGCATTTTTAAGCGAAAATAGTATTAAATAGAAGAAAAAACCTAATTTTTTGAAAGACTTAAAGAAATTAACTTCGAACTAATTAAATATCCATCAAAGCTTTTTATTTTTACTTGAAGTATTGACAAGAAAGTACAAACAATGTCTTTTAAATTAAATATGTTTAAAAGAATGAGGGAATGAAACTTTACAAGTGAATCAACACTTTCAATTTTTTATTGTTTCATAATATAATGTTTAACTTATAATAAATAATTCCAATACAAATTTGAATAAGTTTTTATTTATTATCACGAATCAAATTAATTTGTAATCACGAATTAGGATCAAAATATAAAACTCTGTTTCTAATCAATAACTATATTTTAAGCAAGAATAAAGCTGCCGATCATTTTTTTTTTTGATTTCTAATGTAGTTGAGTCCTGCTCTTCTGCAGACATTTTTATTGGTCTGTAAATGACACGTGACCTTCATTTTCTTTCTAGAATATTTTTAAGAAGTTCTATCTTGGAGTTAGTAATTTTTTCTAGACTTTAGGTAGGGTTTAATCAATCCCTAAAACAAAAGTAAGCTGTACTTTGAACTAATACGTTAAGTTCAGATATTGCAAATTCACTGTTTTTTTTTTTATAGAAATCAATAATAGCGCATAATAATGCAAATCAATAGTTTCTCCTGAAAGCAATAAATATTTTAAGAACTTTTTTTTTTTAATATTTCTTCTCCAAAAAATTGCTCAGCTCTGAAAAAAAAAAGAAGTGAAAAAGAAAAACGCTAGCATTGTTTACTAAATGCTTTTTAATTTATTCCTCCAATGGTTGAAAACAATCATGAATTATATATTAATAAAAAAAGTGACAGAAATCATTAAAATTTATTTAATATAGATTTCCACAGAGCTGTGGAATCGGAAACGAGAAGTCGGAGTCAGCGAAAGTTTGAAGGAGGAAGCCCACAATTTATTTATTTTTTTTACTCCCTTTTCCGCGAAAATTTTAAAATAATAAATATTGGGTAGTTCAGAAAGTAATCATGTTTTTTTCTCCTACAGAAGCTGTAATTATATATTTTCACAACAAAAATTAAACTGTTTACGCAGCAAACTTAAGCACAACAAACATCACATTTAC